TATTTTCACTGCCTGAATTATATTATGATTATCAATTACTCAACTATTTAAATTTATAAATTAGATGAAAAGACGGAAGATCGATAAAAATAATGTCTCAGCTTTTGCCATTCTGATGTCTGGTAAAATTATTTCCACGCACATATAATTTAAAAAATATATATTTACTTAAAACTCAGTAGGTACCTATTTAAAAACCTATTCGAACTTAAACCTAAACCTTTATTTAATTTTTTTCAAAACCTTTTAACATTATTTAAATGAAACCGAAAGCAGATCTAGAACAATAATATATTATTTTTATAAAACGAATACGGCAATATTACACTTGAAGTAGTCTAAAGTAGGTGCCACCCCCTATAGCAATATAATACTACAATCTTTAAACCAGGGTTGTTTAAAAACAGGTTTAAAAAAAGGTTTTAAACGAATAAAAAAACCTATTAATAAAGTCCTATAAATGTTAATATTTAATTGAGTAATGATTTTTATGGGGTAATTTGGTAATCAAAGTTGAACACAGTATTTGGGTTCTAGTTAAGATCTAAATCGTGATTCGTCACTATTATCATAGAAAAATATAGAAGAGCAACTCGATCAGCTGATTGGGGTCTTGTTTACCTATGATCTGAAGTCTGAACCTCCGAAAAACATGAAAACGTTTCCACCAACTAACATGATGTTAGACCCAAGGTTACCCGTATTATGAAATGTTTAGGCGGGATATGTTATTGTCTATCTCTCAGTAATCGCAATCATAAATCCTTGGTAAATAGTATTTAATAATTCATTTATCGTTTTTAATAATTTATTAATTATTATGCTAATTGTTTTTTATACACATGTGGTTGTAACTTACAAAATCAATATGTTTTTTTGTGATGTTTTAAACATAACAACCCTGAATTTATAGTATATAATCTATATACCTGGTGAATATTTTATCATTTGACCCGCATTGTTTCAAAAGTAAATGTCAGATTCATTATTTTCGGGTGCACTGATGTAGCCCTGCTGTTTTCCAAAATAAATTGATCAGCATAATTTTTTATACTGATTTTAGGCCAATTGTGTTCGAGATTTTGTGATTCAAACTAAAAATAAACAATGAATATCAGCAAACTCGATATTTTAAAGTTAAAAAGCTAGCTCAGTCTTGTTGAACAAATATAACAATTCAAATTGTTAGTTGATCTTGAATAATTTAAAATACATAATATATTGGTAGAGTACTTGTTAGTTTGTGTGTTTTGATTCATGCTCGTATTTTTTTTACTGGAGTGTATAATTGTGTCAGGGATATGACGTTAAATTATTGAAACTTGGTGTAGCTAAAATGCCTATCCAGAACGCCGTGTTACCATAACTTAATTTGTATCACATATTGAAAATTGAAAGTGCAGCATTTGCAAATGGTGATTTTAACAAATCTAATTCTAAAATATTATAGTTTATTTCAAAAATATAGCCTTAATGTGCATTATTTCACTCAATTATTTACATTTTTAATTAATATATTATTTGCAATTCTTTACTCTGCGGCTAATAGCCATTAAATATTAATGCGGATAGTTGACCTTCTTTACTTCTATAGTTTAATTAATTTTAATTTTAATCCATTATGGGTGGTATAAATGTATAATGTACCCTATATTTAAATAGCATTTTATTAGATACTGATATTTTTTTACAAAATATTATCTATTATAATAAATAAATTCAAAAAAATGTAATAACTTGTACCAACTTAAAATACTACAATATATTTAATTTAATAGGTAAAACCTAAATATTATATTATTAGGCTGGCTTTAAAGTGTAATAGTAACTAGTCAAAACATAAAACTGTGCTGGCTATAACTAAAATCACATAAATTTCATTATTTATAATTTTTATGGACAGTCAGTTATTTCATATTTTAAAACAAATGATTGAGTACTATTTTTCTTGTATTTTAATATTATGTAACTGTCAATAGTTTTCATCTGTAGTACACAATTAGTTTTGTTTTAAGAAAATTAATTTAAATTTTAAATCTTTTGATTCTAATTTGTAATGTTAATTTTCAGTGAATAGTTTTTCAAGAACAAGTCGTGATTAGACATTGATTATTTTTGCTTTTTGGAATTTTCTAATATTATCCACATCATTGCTATTATATTCAAGAAACACAAAGAAGGTTTTAGTTAATCGTACGATGGATTAATAATGATACGTGAAAAAAATGTTTCTTCTTTTTATTAAACGAATATTAAAATAAAAATGGTAATAGTACACTAATAGGTAAGTTTGGTTTAGAAATGAAATTTTAAAAATAATATTAAAAATTGATTGTGCTCAAGTTACAACTATCAGCTTTAATATTAGTTAGTATTACAATATTTGTTAAGTAATCTTTATGTAATCTTTATCTCTATATATTATAGTTGGTTAGGACGCCACCCGCCCCCCTCCGAACTAAGTCACCTGATCCCCCGACACCGCAACTGCCGACCAAGCTGTAAACAATCAAAATACACATGGCTATAAATATACGCACACAGTGTTGAATTCAGTTGACAGAAATATAATATATATGGGCGAGATTACCCAACAATGTTACGACCAACAGAGTAATGGGAAATTATCGGTCAGAAGAGGGATACTTAATATATTTCATTAAACCAAAATTTTATTCTAAAACAATATTATCATTTTAAATCTTAAGATACAGTTTTCCCTGTTTTAAATGTCCGACATTTCAATCATTCTCTTCTGTGTAGATTAGGTCTATAGTTAAAAAAACACGCCACGTGCAATACCTCTTTCCACATTAAGCGATTATATAATATCGATTTATTCATTTAATGTGCTAACGTGGTGAGAAAACTTATAATACCTACATTATTGGAATTTATAATCCATTAATATATGTATATAAAAATTAATATTTGACTGTCTGTCCGTCTATCCATCCGTCTGTCTGCAGTCCTTTATGCATTCCTAAACAGCAGGACCGATTTTGATGAAATTGTTTGTGTGTGTTTGAACGGTTCTTCCCGGGATGATTTAGATTCACAATTTTACCCAATAGGTCCACCCCGGGGAGGCGCCCAATGGGGGATTTTGAGAATTAGGATGGACATTTTTGTTTATAAACGGTTGTTATAGGTTACAGAAGAAATAACTTATAGAAATTAGGATTTATTGTTTTATCGGTTGCTATTGGTTAATCGGCCAATCAGATACAAAAGCTTGAATCAAATCGAATTTTCGCACATTTCCTACCAGGGTGGCTGAGTTTCACTTACTGCAGTGAGTTAAACTCATAGATATTAAAGAATGGATAGGCCATTTTTGCTTATCATACAGGAACGAACATGAAAGTATTTTGAGGTTATAGAGGTCTAAACACAAATAGATATATATAATTATTGTTTAAAATTTATGATAATACCTCTGCCAGAATGAGAGGCAATGATATAAAACAGTCTTTCTATCTTCTCCATTCCGGCACACTTCTCTCTATTTTATTATGCAGCAATGGCATATTCATTCTTTAATATCTATGATTACACCCAAAAGGAGTTGAACAAAAATCAATTTTTTTTACAATTGTAATTTTTTATAGGCAACGAAGTGAGCGGGATCAGCAAGTATATAATGATATTAACATTACATCATATACAGTATTAATAAATACTGTACACTGATTTTAGTAGTAGGTATATACGTCATTCATCATATTACAAACTATGATTTATGTAATTTAGTAACATAAATTATTTTTACCCACTTATTCACCCTTTCACATATAATTTAATTATCACTTCCCTCGAGGACATACTTGAATATATTATGTACCTAAATATATTGTTGTAAGATGATCAGATGTCAGATATAAATGGTCGAAAACATACTTCAAAAAGATTCGAATAAGTATTAAATATAACTTTTTTTAATTAAAAAAAAATTTACCATCTTAAATCAAACATACAAGAAAGTTATGATTTCATTTTAACAAAAAAAAATAAATAAAAGTCTTAAAATGAAGATCACATTTATAACAATAAAAATTTTAAGTTTACTACATACTTACATTTAAATAAATAAAATTATGAATTTTAACATTTTCAATATATACACAATTCAAATCCAACGGATTTAAGAATATTCTTTCTTTTTTCAATTTCAAAATTACATTTTAAATGATGTAGAATAAATGCATTAGTTCAGAAATGCATTCATCTTAAATCTAATAAAAAGTTATCATTAATGACCAGTTTTACAGCAAAGAAAAACATAAATAAATATACAAATACAAATGATCAACACTTCACTGGAGGGGGGAAGAGGGCACTTACAAAACACGCTAAAACCGAGTGGTAACTATAGTTTTAATTTTTATACAATAAATACGTAATGTGGCGAATGATGTGGTTATGATTCGGAAAACACGGTGGACATTTGGAAAAAAGTGTTCTCGTCGTAGAGTGAACTCAATGACGTGGACATGTCCTTGAGCACCATGTTGTTGCTGCTGTCGAACTCTTGGAGCTCTGGCGTGGGCCGGAAGTTAGAGGATTCCTCTTCCATCGGACCCGCGGCCGCCGTCGTCCCGGTGTCCTGTTTCCGGTCCAGATCCGTGTAATACTGCTGCTGCTGTTGTTGTTGCTGTTGCTGATGAGCCTGCTGGCTGAGCTGTTGGTGGTGGTTCGGCCTCGAATAGCAGCCATTGAATTTTCCACCGTTGTTCTGATGATAGCCACTGTTGTAGTAATTGTTGTTGTGCTGTTGGCCGCACTGCTGTTGACCGCACTGCTGGTTGTTACAGCCGCCATTGTAGTAGCTGTGACTGTACGGGTGCATGGCGTGCGCGGTGGCTGCTTGTCCCACAGCCGCGGCTTGTTGTCCTCCGTTGACAGCGGCGGTCCTCTGGCACCTCTGGTACGCGTTCGGGGTGGCGTTTGTGTCGTCGTAGTACCCGTTTTCGTTTCCTTGCCCGTGGAACTGTAGACCGTTATTGTTGTTGTTGTTGTTGTTGTTGTGGCCTGCTATTGCTGTTATTGTTGATGTTGTTGTTATTGTTGTTGTTGTTCAGCTGATAGTGTTGATTGTTGTTGTTGTTCTTCACTTGGTGATACTGATAACCGCTGTTGAGCCTGAAGTTGGCGTAATTGTGGTTGTAATTAACAAAGTCCTGGTTGGACGAATACGAGTACCGTCCACCGTTTTGCCTCTGCTGCATATTCGGCCCGACGTTTAAGTTGTTGTTGTTGGTATTGTTGGTGGTGGTGGTGCCGAACAACATCGCCGGGTGGTTCGCTTGGTACGGTCTTTGGTTCTGGAACTGAGGGTTGTACGGAGAACCGGGAAAGCCGTGTCCGTGGCTATGTTCCTGTCCCTGCCAGTTAACCGGTAAACTGTTGCTGCGCATGTTCCGGTAGCTATTTGCCGGTGGCGCCTTGCTTGGCCGGTCGTTCGGAATGGGTGATGGAATGACGGGAGCCACGGTATTGGTCAACGCTTGACCGTTGCCGGTACCGTTGGACGCGTCCTGGACGACGATGGGTGGAGTCAGCGTGGGAATGTGCTCCAGAGCGGATTCGGTCAGTTCGTTAATGGTCTTTTCCGCGTCAAACGCGCCGAGATCGTAGCCGTCGATTTTTTCGCTTATCTGAAAATATAATTGAACAGAAACCGTTTAGTATAACATTGGACTTACGCAATATCATTTTTGGTTTTTATCTCGTTTTATTGACTCACCATGTCCTTGATGACGTCATCAAAATCGTCGGGTAGGACCATTTTGCTCTCCAGCGATTCACCCTCACCGACTTCGTCAAGGTTGATGTTCGAGTTGGGATGATGTACAGCTCCGGCTTGGCGAGTTTGAGGTCTCGACATTTTGGCACTTTCTGGCAACTGTCTGCATTCTTCGTTATCGGTAAACGCCTGAAAAACGACATTGAAATAAGATATATTGTAGACATCAATAAATAATTGACAGTTCTCTTTTAGGTATAATAGTACATACATCGATATCAGGACCCATTGCTGTGTTTGCTTGACTAGGGGAATAATCCACAGAAATCGGATCGTATAAGGATGAGGCGTTGCTTAACCTATGATGCTCAGAAGGCACCTAAAAAAATACATAAGTTTTATATTAAATAATGATGCTGAACTTACTATTTTTCATATCAAGTTTGTATACGTACTTGGCTGTTCCTGCGACTTAGGTCAGACTTCATGCTATAGTAATTACTATATGTGCTTTCTCTCCGTATAGTGTCTTGATTAGACACCATTTTCATGTCAGTCAATTGCTTATTTAATTCTTGCATACCAGAAGTGCTTCCATGTCCTGGACTCAATTCGGGCATTGGCGATAACTCACTGGCTGCGGCGTGCTTCAATCCAGCATGTGGCACAAACCGTCGCATCCTTTGAATCATAGGCGCCGAAGTGACCATTCCGACTTCAGAGTGCATCGGAATAAAGTCGAACAACTACAGAAATCAAATAAATTGTTAACCGTTTTAATCTTCTATTTCCATGAAAAACTGAAATCGGCTCTGCAGATGCTATTGAATAAGATTTATAATTATCACTTACGTCGGCTTCATGTGCATCTTCGACCCAAGGGTCGTCCAAAGCGTCTGCACTATGGTTGCTGTCGCTAATAGGCTCGTCGTGAAACATTCTATTACTGTACGGAACGCTCATAGGACTGGGTTGTTGGCCAGGGGAATTTGTTTCCTATTGAAAGAAAAAATAAAACACAAATTTTATAAATAAGTCAAACTAAAATTAAGCCAAATAGTCTTATTAAATTCGATTTATTTTAGGAATGTTATAGGTACGTACTTCAGATTTTATGCTCGGACTAGACACGCTAACGGTTTTGGCACTCATCGGCATCTCATCGCTCCGATACGGTGACGCGTCGTCGGCACCAGGTCCATTGCCACCACCACCACCACCTCCACTTCCACCGCCGCGGCTGTTATCGCCGTTTCCATTGCCCTTATGCCGTTTATGAGCATAGAAATCAGCCCCGTGAACCGTCTTGACGTGTTTGCGCAAGGAACTTGGATCGGTGTAACGTTTTGTACAACCAGGAGCTTTACATATGTACGGTTTCTAAAAAATACAGATATGTTCATTAGTTCTATTCCAGCGAACGATTTTCTATAACCCAATCTCACCTATTCATTTTTCCCAACTGATTGCATACACACAAATTAAACATATTATATTATATACATTTTTAAACATACAATTTCACCAAAACAAACTTTGAAATAGAAAAAGTAATATTTTTATACAGTATATTATACAATATACTATTTATACTCAACAGTTCCCACCCATTGTATGAGTAATATATAATTATAACTCATATCAAAAACATTATATAGGTAGTACATTTTTATAAATCAAAGTTTCAATTACCTCGCTGGAATGAGTGCGGTTTTGATGTTTGGCTCTATCGGAAGCATTGCTAAAGGCCTTACTGCAACCAGGATGTTCACAAGTATAGGGCTTTTCGCCAGTATGAGATCTGAGATGAGTTTTTAGGTTTTCCAACCTCGAATAAGCTTTGGTGCAATTTTCAAACTGTAACATGACATTAACATAACGTTTATTTTTAAAAACACGTAGTTGAACATTGGCGTTAAACATAACATAAATGAACGATTTAGTAGGTATATTATTTTTGGTTATACATTTTTTAAATTTAACTATCACAGTTTAGTTTTTTCATACAATATGTAAAAAACCATCATATCAAACAAACCATCATACAATGGACTTATGTTAACACTTAACAGAACTCAGAGATAAATCAATTACCGTGCATTTGTGAGGTTTCTCTCCAGTGTGTCTTCGCATATGTACCACAAGCATGTATTGGGCTTTGAATGGCTTCTCGGCTCTAGAACAATCCTGCCACTGGCATACAAATGACTTTTTGTTCGCCTGAATATGATCATTAACGATGTGCTGCAAAACACAAAAACACAATAATGATATTATAAAGTCATCGCATTATCATTATATTATAAAAGAAAAACGGTAAGCGTATTAGTATTCCGGTGTTGTTGTGTGACTGGTGTTGAGTTATGCAGTGTAAATTAATTTGCTTCGAGCAATTATAGGAGGTACGTTTCAATGTCGGCGTGGATGTATAATATTAATAATATTGTAGATTGAAAACAATATTGAAAGGTAATAAAAACAATAATCATCGTGATATGTACCTGCACTAATACAGCCTGAGTCTGGTATTCTAAATTACAGTTCTTCCAGTGACAGTTTGTCTCGATGAAATCTGGTTCCCCTTTGAGGTCACTGATGGATTCCGGTGAGTTTTGTTTCGAGTCTTCGACGATCTTTTGGGAAGTCTTCTTCGAAGCCGACGTCGATTTCGATTTGGACCGTTCGTGTTTGATCTTGCACATGTCATTGGCCAACATCTAATAACGACAACATGATAGATTATAATATAATATTATTATACATGACGCGTATACCGTCCAACTAACACAATGACAGCCGCCGAGTTGAAAAACAACGCTCATAGTCATATATTATTATATATAACAACGAACCGTGAACGGAAACTACTTGCCTGTGAACTGCAGTCCTGCGAGGGTACAGGTAACATGTGTAGGTTGTACGAAGGATGGTGGGCGGAGGACGGCATGGCGGCGGCGTTGTGCCACGGCAAGTGCAAGCCACTGGCGGATCGCAACAACTGTTGGACTTGCGGCGATATGACGGACGGGTGGTGTTGCATGGTAAACGCCAGCGGGTTCAGGTGCCCGTACGAACCGGAAGTGCTCGAACTTCTGGAGCACGAGGCGCCGTACGCTGCGGCGGCCGAGTAAAGCGCGCTCGGCGATGACCGAATCCGGCCATGGAGCTCCAGGTCCGGGGACGGCGACACGGACAGCGCCCGTTTCTTGCCCTGACGCGAGAAGCTTTGTGCCAACGGGCTACACAGACCCGAACCTGTTGATCACGATTCGAGAACATTAACACAACAGCTATATATAGAGTCATATCTGCTATTATATGCGTCAATAACGGGCTAAACGTGAAAGGGCAGGCGGAAAAAGTTACAACAAAAATTGTATCAAAATGTTTTTGAAATTAAAAAATAAAGTGCATTATTTTAATATTACACAATAATATATTTTAGTCCTTTCAAATGGGGTTATCCCTGTTTATTACTGTTACAATTGAATCGACTGTCGTCCTCTCACTATTCCATAACAAAAAGCAAGGGATAAACATGGCAATAACTATTATAATGAATAGAAGAATTATTATAAAAACCGTACGAATACTCAAATTTAAGAACAACATTTTGTATCCTAACTTTATTAGGTAGGTATTCATAATTCAGAACCGGATTCGAGGAAATCAAAATTATCGTTTAGCAATACATATGTTTATTATACTTATGTTTATTATACTTACTCAGGGAACCGACTGTTGCGAACGACGAACAGATATCCATACAGTTGAAACGAAGCGGATGGGGGAAATCGGCGGGATGGGGGTGCGGATGGTGTGGCGGCAGGACGCCACCCGCCCCCCTCCGAACTAAGTCACCTGATCCTCCGACACCGCAACTGCCGACCAAGCTGTAAACAATCAAAATACACATGGCTATAAATACACGTACATAATTATAATTCACTAATATATATAGGTAGTATATCAGTACAATTATTATTATCACTGGAGCAGAGGCCCCGGACGGGCTGGTTATACCGAATTGACTTCCCCCGTGTGTAAAGTAGCTCAAACCCATAAACTTTGAAGGCGTCATAAAACACTACACTTAATACGCCGTAGGAGTCGTGTCTATTCGTGTGTCGGGTGGTTATTTAAAACCCATACGCATATATGTCAACACAACATAATCGAAAAGCGCCGAGAACTTGCGGGCCAAAGACATGTACGCACCAACTCGTAAAATATTTTAATTCTAAATGCCAAAACCAAGTAAACCCAGCTTTTGTACTAATTATTATTATTGTTACTGACAGCCTTGAGTTTGTTGCGAATGCCAAAGAATAAAAAAATGTCTGTTGCCAATTACCTATATATTCGCGTGCCTTGTTCAATAAAATGGAACAACTTATTAGATCAAGCTCGCTTATAAACTCTTTGTGTACTAAACATAGTGATATTATAATATATATAGTATAAACAATATACAATGCGAGTCGTTTGTTTATTGTTTTTAAATAAAGGAACTCAGACAGACCGATAAAGATTTTAAAAAAAATAATATAATGAACACGGAAAGTAATTAATAAAGCAAATAATAAAATTAAGCATTTAAAATTTTAAACAAATAATTACGAGTCTACAAATCTCAATAGAGATCAAAAAACGTGGTTTAATAATTTATTATTATTACCTAAATCATGATCACTTAATTACATAGGCACTATATTATTTATTTACACTTCATGTACCTATGTCTGTACATTATTTTTTACTTTATTTATATTTTCGTTAGTTTAGGTAATATCATATCCAATTTACTCTAGTTTTCACGTTAAAAAATTGTCTCTGTTTTTCACATTTAGTTGAGAAAATTCACACTATCGTGAATCCTTTTCCAATCGTTTTCGCGACAAAACAATTTTTCAACTACTTTCATAATATTTGCTGTATATTTAATCGGTGGTTTTATTCGATTAGACCGTTTGGGGCGTGAACGTGGGATTATTTGAACGAGGGGTAAGTAGAGATATTATGATGACAGGACGCGATGACGATTCGTAATGGTCGTCTAGTGACGAGTGGTGGCGGTAACTAAATATTATGTAGGTATGGTAAATCTCAGGCGGTGTTGTGGTCGTCGTCTGTTACGGCTCATCGTCTCGGAGAGCGGATTCGTAAAAATAAAAACGAAAAACGAGAACCGACGCACAGTTGTTGTGTATCAAAAAACGTGTTCGGCGCTAAACGAATCGTGTCGGCTGACAACCCTATGTATATATAATATCACGGTTAATACGCAGAGCAGCAAGTATAGAGTGGCAGCAGAAGGAGCTGCACCGACGGCGGTGCTGTAAAAATTCCCGGACAAGTCGGTGTTGTCCTTTTTCGAAAAGAGAGTTTTATTTTAACGACGATAGCCGGGGCCATGTGCGGCGGCGAGAGCGAGCTGTTGATTTACGACACTATTTTCAGATGTCGGCGGCGGTGGCTTATTATATATACCTCTATACATATAGATGAACATATTATATTATGTGTATATATACCGATACATACTCGCACTTAAATGTATATACAATTGGCATCCTGTGAACTATTTCCGGGAGAGGCTTTTCATCGTAATATTTTATTTATTTTCTCGCCCGTTCTTCGTCACGGCTGCAGAGTGTCTAGCACGTTGCCAACTATATATATATAGTGTATACAAGATGTGCATCATGATTATTTTATCGTCAATCGGGAAACATCGTAAGAAAATCCCAGGAATTTTAAATCTGTAGAACAAGACCTGATAACTGTAATAAAATGTAAAACGATATGTTTGTAAGCGCGAAAGAAAATTAAAATAAAAAAAATCTCAATGCTTTGGCCGGTATACGATAAAAGAAACACTCTGTATACAAATGTGTGGTGTGCACACACGTGCAGTGTAGTGCACGCAGTATACACATCACTATACGCGACGACTTCGTCATATCAATTACGAAGATGAAGACGAGCTTTTTAGCGTACGTATAGCTTCCGTTTTGCTCGTTTGTGGCGTCGAGTGTCGTTATAAATTATTATAATAGCATGAATACGGTCGTTATATCGTCATAATATTACGGAAATAGAAGGTAGTAATTATGTATCATTACGGTCGATATAGTACCTATGTATTGAAAATTAAATATAAACAGTACAATAATATTGCAACTCAATCTGTACACATATATAGTGCTGTCCGGACACCGGCTATTTAATCTTTCAATTATAATCCTTTAACGTTCAGAGTTCGTGACCATATAGTTTGGACGGACCATGGGTCATTACTCATTAATGCCGCTGCGTTATTCAAACACACGACTCGTAATAATAATAATAATATAGTAATGGTCGTTTATATTATTATAAATCCTTAGCGTTATTTTTTCTTTCCCGTCGCATCCTCCTCTCACCGCATCGTTCCATACCGATACACGGCAGCAGCGACACTACGATTATAATATTGTACATATTTTGTATCATACAGTTTATAGACCAGCGCTACAGACATGTTAGTTTTTTTATTTATTTCGTTTTTATTTTTTTTACTTTACGGTGGCAAATTGAATAATCAAATAGACTAAAAAAACTAAAACTATTGGATACAAGAGAAAAAAAAATTCAAAGTAAGAAAAAGCCGCGCACCGTTTTCCTCTTTATCATTGCACCGGACGACCGACGACGACGCATGATTGGTGATGGTTTAGGCATGTGTTCAATTTGTTAGATCACAGATAAACATTTCGATATAATAATGCCAGTGATGGAATGCAACTGGCCGTGAATTTCTAAGAACCGAACAGCAGGACGTTGAATTTTGAATTCTCGCCGTCCTTTTTTTTGTTCCCCCACCCCCATTCTGTCCTTCCATACAGATGTATTGAGACCTGTTCTCTCTCGACGTCCACATTATATTATTATTCTCCCTTTTGCCGAGTCTTTGTAGAAATATCTTTACCCTGTGAGAATTACACACTAAAAAAAAAAAAATAATAATAATAAAATCAGGTGTACCCACATTCAACAACTCGTATATAATATATTATATATATGTATAAAATATGTTTCTCCTTTACGCACACGGTATACGATTAGTGTACATGTGGACCAGTCAAATAATAAAGACTAGAATAAAATATTATAAAATTTTATCGAGGGTTGGCGGCGACGCGCAGACTGACACATAATACTGCAGTATTAGTATTATTGTAACTTTCTTGTCTGCAGCCAAGTTTCGTATGGGGCCGATGAAGCGCGAGAAACGCGAAAACATATTTTATCACTCGCTCCCATGATGACGTAAAGAGTTAATAAAAACACCAGTTTTGACGGCGGACATAATTCTGACAGCCGAACAACGCCGCCGTAGTCGTCGTTGGCCGGTGTCCAGGCTTTATACGAGATATATTTATGATTACAATATATCTGCCGCAATTATAGTACCGTTTTATTCGGGTCGACGGAGACAAATTGTATCGTCCCAAATAGGAAACTCAAAAATAAACAAGATCACCGGCGAACCAGCACTTCCCGTCCATTTCTAAAATAGTTTCTCGCCATTATAATAATATTATTATTACATTTACATATTTACATATCACAGCCGATACTATTGAAATTCTAAAAACCGTCATCCGAAACTCTGACAGAATGTCGACTTATCTGCAGTCAGCTTCGCGTTTAGATGATCAGCGGGTTTAAAATTATTGTACGTATAAATTCTCAGCTCGACCACAACAGGTGCTTCGTGTAAACGTACCGCAACCTCGGTATGTCGGTATAATACTAATAGTCTATAATGTCGGTGTAGGTATAATTTTATGTACGATACGGTGGCTATATAATATCTACTATAGGTATGGACTGCGAGCATTAGAATAATATACTATTTCGTCCAAAGACTGTCGCCTGTCGTGGCAATGACTTCCGCGGACTCGCCTCTCCCCTCGTGACTCACATAAAAAAACCTCCCCGAAACTCCCCATCCAGAGACCCTCGACATATCCTTGCGGCTACGAACCTGTGGGTGCATGGTGTACGTCACTTTGTAACTGTTTATGCGGAGGCTGAAGGTTACGACCGTGGATTGTGTACTCCTATATGGTTAAGGTTTGTAACGAGGAGCGACGGTTGCCGCGGGTGAGCTCCTCGAGCGGTGGCGATCTCGCGGACTTGGGCACGGCTGTGACTCGACGGCGACGGCGACGGCGGCGGCGGCGACCAGGACGGGAGAACGACGAGCACGACGCGCACATCGCACCACAAAACCGAATCGTCGACTGAGGCAGCGCGCGCGCGCGCGGTTACCGCAGCCACGCCACGACGGACCACCCAAGTGTGCGACTACGATGCGGACCGGAGTGAGACGCGCGCGGTGACGTCACGACGACGACGACGACGCGGTGAACGGTGTAGGTAATAATATTATAATAACAATATTTATAACAATAATAATACCATCTCCTGATCTTCTTTTCTCGTCCATGGTACATATATAACGGTTTGGTATCTCCTCGCTATCGAGTTATCAGTTTATTTGCTTAGACATACGAGCAGCAGCCGGTAGACTCGGCGGCGTCACCCGAATACCCGATATAAGTAGTTGTACCGTAGCGAATGCCACCTCGACAGTGTCATTTAGTCCGATATGATAGAATTTGACCTATTATTTGTAAAATACTTAACAATTATCCGATCTAAAGAAAATCTCCAAAATGGTGCAAAATATAGGTAATTTTCCCTTCTTGATATTTA